GTCCTTTATTAATATCAAGTGTAAGGAAAACACTTCAGGATAAATAAAATACAAAGCTAAGTAGACTAAAGTATTTTTAATTAAAAAATATAAACAATGAAATAAAAAGGCACAATAGAGTGTGGCTACTGTTAGTGTGGAGGGTCAGATTAAGGTGACGTCACGTCCCCCAGAGACTACTCCTGAGCTTTGGGATCTAACGCTCACCCTGACTGATCGGTCGATTGATTATCGTCCTGGCTGTAGATGGAAAAAGTGACCCTGGCGGTGTGTAATACTCGAGCGGTGACATCACTCCCACGGATGAGGAGACTGTGTTCGGGTTGGACGGCGGCCCCAGCCAATCAGCGTGCACACGCATGGGACGAGTTTAAAAAGCTTCAGCAGGGTTCGGAGGGTCCAGAAGCGTTTGAGCGGCACCGAGCGCCTCCGCCAAGCAGTAAATACTGACAAGAGACTGGTTAGTTTGTTGGTGCGGGACTTTCTCCGTGTGTTCCCCGGTCTCGGACACTGAGCTGTGACCTGCGTCGTTATTTCCCTGCATGGACAAACAGAACTGCAGCATGTCAACACACTTCAAGAGCGGCCCAGCCTTCGGACTGTCTGCAGAGGTCAAGAGCAAGGTTAGTTTTCTTTTTATTCTGAGCAGCAGAACATAGGTCGTATGTAGCTTCTCGGGTGGAGGAACGGTGAACACTCCCTCCGGGCTCCTGCTGGTCAACAGCCACATGTGGCTGCTGATGTGACAGCCGCTTTATTAGGAACGTCTCTCTCGAACTTGTTGATTCGCCTGGTCATTGTGGAAGCTGTGCTGCTGTCCAGTCGTGCTGCTGTCCAGCTGTGCTGCTGTCCAGCGGTGCTGCTGTCCAGCTGTGCTCCGCGCTGCGTTATGCTGAGAGAGGTTTGTCAGAATCCGCGTTACTGGCCAGGTGTGTTGGACGCACCGGGAATCTGACTCGAGCCGTGTGCACGAACAGTGTTCTTCTGTAAAGCAACGAGTAGAGAGGTAAATCAGACCGAGAGAACAGAAAGATAAAGTACTTATATAAATGTATATCCACGCAGTTTTCCAGACAGATGTATACAGTGGTTTACTGCGTGTTGTCGTCATGGGTTAAGTTCTGATCAGAACGATGGCGCGGGGGAGGAGCCTGTCCTGTTTCTGTCGTTTAGCCCCACTAGTAAATGCAGTGGACACAATAATAGAAACACCTGTCAGTACAACACTCCAGCTGCCAAAGTGATCAAACGTCACATGATCACTATCATGAAGGGTGTAGGACAGTTGGATTAGACTGACTTAGTTTGAGACACTGGAGCTGTGGTCACCTGAACAAATGTTGATAGTTGGTTTCAGTGGTCAGAGAAGGTCGGACGTTTAGCGTGTGAGAGTGCAGCACAGGGGCAGGTCTGACCTGTGCTGCCTTGGTCTTGTGTTGTTTGTTCACGGACCTCGTGGGCTAAGAAACCACACGGTGCAACAAAAGAAACATGTCATGTTTACAAGCCGGTGAGTGAACCCAGACAGACCAGCTCCATATGAAGGTTATTTTACTGTCAGTAATTATTAAAGCCCTGACCCGTGCATGAGGCCAAAACATAAAAGGTCCCTGTTCTTCAGTCCGTTTCTCACACACACCTGTTCTGGGAGGAAACTCTTGAATCTTTACAAGCCAAGAATTGATACGAGAATAGGAGACAGAGACACAGACATGGTAGATTGTGAGTCTGTAGGAACAGCAGGCCTATGACACAAGTCTGAACCAACTCTGTGTCACAGTTGTTGATGATGGCACTGAACACGAGTTTTCTGCATAGCTGAGAAGAATCAACAGAACCAGACTGCAAGCCCAGTGCTGACCAGAACACGGGGGGGGGCACCTTGTGGACCATTACTTTGTCATTGCTTACTGCTGTTTGATATCATTTATATGCTGCTGTTGTAGTTGAATATGTTTATAGTATCATCACATGGCTGTGCAGTTCTTTAATTATCAATAAGTAGTGGAAAGTAACTATGTACTGCTAAAGTACTGTAATCGATAGGTTTGAGTTATCTGTACTTTACCTGAGTAAAATGTCCTGCTCCTTCATCCTGTGACTCCATGTCAGAGACAAACCGTGTACTTTTTACTACACTACATGTACCTGATACCTTCAGGTCCAGAACCAGATGAATCAAACCAAACCCAGTAGAACCATCAGACTCTATTGATCCCAGTAGGAAATCCACCAGCTACCCAGCAGGATGGAAAGTACTTCCCAGTATAAGTATATAAGGTAGTTACCATCAGCTCCACCTTTACCAGCTGCAGCATTAAAGTGATGGACACAGTAATTAGTCACTATGATCCAGTATCAGAGACGTTACTGGGACACGGGCCGTTCTGCTGGACGGGTACTGGTACTGATGGTACTTCAAGTAGATTTGGATGCTGATACTTTGAATGTAGGACTTTACAGTGGGCCATTACAACTTTTACTTGGGCAAAGGATCCGAGTACTTCTTCCATGACCGCGTTTGTAGCCAGAACAACACGATGGTGCCAAAGCAGTGAATCCAGCAGGATTGCGGGAATTTTCTCCTGCCTGGATCCTGACAGGTGTGACTCTGTATGATGGGCTGAGTCAGAGCGGGGAAAGGTCAGCCTGTGATCATCATCGCCCTGGATGATGAGGCCTGTTCCCCAAATAGAGCCGACACTCATCAGCACTTGCAGCCTGCGTCTCTGAATCCCACATTCCTTTCTGTTACTGCAGTCAGCAGGCGCTTGCTAAGGAATGAAGGCTGAGATGTTGGCACTGGCCTGGCCGTTAGGTTGCTGCCATCTTTTACCATTTATGTGCACAAGGGGCGGGCGGAGATGTGCGTTCGATTTTCTGTAGAGTAAAAACAATATCAGCCGAGGACATGGAGCATCAGGGCTCCGTGGTTGAGGCGGGGTGTCTGCAGAATGACGTCAGACAGTAGCAGAACACTGAGGCATACATCAGCCGAATCTTATCTGGCCTTTTAAGGAGGAACCAGGCTGACTTGGAACTTGAGAAAGTGTCCTTACTCTAAACAGTTTACATCAGAGTCAAGGATGACAAAGCACAGTGGTGACGGAGCACAGGTGGAGCTGGACGAGCTGCCCGCAGCAGGAGAAGGCCACGGAAGCTGTGTCACTACATGGAGACATGTCTGCATGTTCATACAGGATGTCAGGTTGTTAGTCTGTGAGATCCCACAGGTTGGAGGCCAACACCTAAAGTGAGAGACTGTATCCTGTTCTGTCTTTACACATCAGAAGCATTGCTGCATTGCAGTGCACGGTGTAGCTCTGCAGCCTTACTTGGTCCGGTGTCATGGTGGCTAATGTTAGCTGCTGCTCATGCTGTTGTTGCTGTGCTTTTACTCATCTCCTGTAACAACAACAGTAACATCAGTTTATCATTGCAGATGTTTGGATTCTAGTGTTGTTTCACCACAAACAGTTCTCACTTAAAGAAATACAGATGTTTATTATTAATAAAAAAACATTTTTTCATTAACAAAAAATTAAAATGTGCAATGTAAAATGTCTAAACTCTGGTACAAGAATAAAATGTGGCCAAGTGTAGATCTGAGTCAGGACCTAGCTGAGTTGGACTAACATTCAGTAGCTTTCATCAGACTTGACACATTTACAGTTCTGAGGTACTTGAGTATTTCCACTGAAGCTTATAAAATACATAAAGAAAGGTTAGACCGCTGATTTCCAGACCTTGTAGGACTGTGAGTCTTAACAAAACAGTGTGTAGGTGTCATGTTTCAGACAAGTGTCAACAGCTCCACTACAGACGTTCACGACTTGTCAGACGCTTCCACTGAAATAATTATCTGCCCAACAAGGTCAAAGCAACACAACTATATGTAGAAGAACCTGCGTTTTCTTCTGTCCTCTCCCCTGAGTCATCTCACGACCCTTTGGATTTGTCTTGTGACAAGGGCCACGGACCTTAGGTTGGGAACTGCTGGTCTAAAACACTCTGTTGTAGTTGTTAAACCAGCTACAACAGCTAAACGCTGTTGATGGAGTATGTACTGTAACACAAAGGGTCACTGCTCTGGAGGATGAGTACTAATTAGCTGATAATACTGCTGTACTGTGTAGGATTTTAAATGCAGGACGTTTTGTAGCAGTACTTGTGTTGAAAGCTGGACTCTGATACAACAGAGCTGAGCCGAACACTGCTGCAGTCCTAGGCTCCAGGTGTCAGAGCACTGCAGGTGTCCTCCACCTGCGCACATGTCGCAGTACTGCAGGTGCTTCTGCAGACGATGGATTTTTGTTGCATTCTGCTGTCACCTGAAACATCTTGCCACTAGGGGGTGCTACAGCGTGAAACAACCCCTTTGGTTCAGTCAGGTTGACCCACGTCGTCTCTGACACAGAAAGCCTCTGTCCTTCCTCTGTGCCTCCCTTCACTGCAGTAAACTCAGCAGTACATTCCTCCAGACACCGTGTTTGTTCGCTGCTGTAGCTGTACCACTCCCAGCCTGCGTCACCTCCACAGGTGTAAGAGCGCACGCTCAGTTTGTGCACCAGGGCCGCAGGTTTGTGCGACAAGGCCGGGTGTCATCTGTGTACTTGTGTGCCTTAGTCTGGTATGAGCATTAGCTCGTGATGGCTAATGCATGCTAACTTGAGATGAGGTGCAACTGGCCTTACTGCATCAGTGCACGGACGCGGTGGCTCCGTGCTTCTTGTGCAAGCTGTACTTTGTCATGTACGATTTTCCTGGACCTGTCACGTGTGTAGTCTCACTTTGGGCGCAGGGTGTGAGGACTTCCTGCACACCTGGCTACCTGTCCGGTAGCGAGACTTGGTGTGGAACGAGGTTTGATGGCCATCGCTGAATGGCCACGTGTTTCTCACAGTCTCATGTTCTCAGGAACCTCAGAGCTCAGGAAACATGGTGGAAACGAGTTGAGTACATTTACTTTTACTTCACTACATTTCCAATCTAGTACGTGTTGGTGCACTACGTGTACCAGACAGCTGTCCTTACTCTGCAGAGTCATATTAATAAAACCAAATATGTTTATTACAGGTTAAGGTAAAGCTTTTTGATCCCTGGGGGGAAACATAGTCCACAGGAAATAAAGTCCCTAAAATTCCCTTCTCTTTTACCAGCAGTGACGTTAATGCATCAACAATTAAAATTCAATATTCTAGTGTGCTTTATTCTGAAAATCAGTCATTCTGTATAAGGAGTACTTGGACCGGTGGTACCTGGAGCATGTTTTACTGATGATACTAAAGTAACATACTGAATGAAGTATTACTGCTTTTACTTAAGGTGACAGTCCATGTCCCACCGCTGGCTCTGAGCTGGAGCTGAAGTACCCGGGCTGATGGTCTTGGCCCGTCTGTATCAGACGGGCTCTGCCTGAGCGGTGACGTCGCTGTAAAAGGGCAGATTCCTGAGGAGCCCGACCATGAGAGGAACGTGAGCGGGGGCCGGTCGCAGGCAGAGGGAGGAGCGTCTGGGAGAGCTGTTTCTCCCAAGTTTGGTGTGATGGACTGGAAGCTTTGAAATGTGTGTTTGTGTTGGCTGCTGGGCCCAGACTGTGAGGACTTGTCTGCAGAGGGGGTGTGTGTGTGTGGGACGGGGGGGAGCGTGAAGTATTAGGGCAAAGTCTTTGTGCCAATAAGGAAACATGGAGAGAGGACAGGGTCTGTGTTTGACCATGCAGGAATGTCCACAGGCCTTGTTTGTGTTCCTGTCTCTTCCTGCTCTTTGTCTTCCCCTGAGCTCCGAGCAGCCGGACACTCCAGTCGAACTCTCGCCGTCAGTGCAGCCGTGGTTCGCTTCTGAGAAACGTGAACCAGTCGTACTGTGGTCGTCAGAAAAGTCAGATTAGGCATCACACAAACAAAGTATTAAACTTTAGAGACTTCTGTGAACATTTATATATATTCAGTCGGCTTTTTTTTTTTACGTCAGTCTGGACAATTGGTGGTCAGTTTATTAGGAACACCTGTGTCAAACTGAGTCAGTTTAATAGTCCTGCAGTAAATCCTCCAGTCCTACTGTGACGAACCTTGGAGTCATTTTTCACCAGGATATGTCCTTTAAATCATCAGTTTGTGTTACTTATTTATCTACTTTTAGAGTACTGACAGGAACTAGCAAGAGAGATCATATCTCTCCCATATTAGCTTCTCTCCACTGGCTCCCTGTAAAATTCAGAATAGAATTTAAAATCCTTCTCCTAACATACAAAGCCCTTAATGACAAGGCTCCATCGTATCTTAAAGACCTCGTAGGACTATGGATTGAAGTATGATGTGAAATATAATGCAGAAAAGAGTGTTGTACTGATCTGTCAGACTAAAGGGGACAAAGAACTTTGTTTCCCAGACTTTTGTTTGTCTGGACAAAGGTTGAGTGTCTGTAGAAAAACTAAATATTTAGGACATTTCATTACAGATCAGCTTTCTGATGATGAGGATATATATCGGCAGTGTCGCATTTTGTATGCTCAAGCTAATATGTTGGTTAGGAAATTCCACATGTGTTCTGCTAGTGTTAAAGTTCATCTGTTCAGAACATACTGTAAACCGTTGTATACTGCCCCATTGTGGTGTAAATATAAGGTAGCTACTTTACAGAAACTTAAACCAAGCTCCTCTCCTGTGGAACCAGCTCCCAGTCCCTTAGTTATGCTGCTATAGGCCTAGGCTGCTGGGGGGCCCCATGATGCTCTGAGTTTCTCTCCTATCCTCCCCTCTCCTGTCCTCCCCTCTCCTCCCCTCCCCTCTCCTCCCCTCCCCTCTCCTCCCCTTCCCTCTCCTCTCCTCCCTTCCACAGGCAAACTGTGTGTTTTTTATTTGCCTGGTTTTTATTTTCTTAACTTGGCTGCACAACCCTGATTCTCCTTTGTGCTCCTCATGAGGCTGAAGGACTGGATTTGTTTTGCTCAGTATAACTACACAAATATGACGAGAAGCATGAGTTCCAACAATAACTTCATAAGACATAATAATAAAAACACAGACATGCCTAATGACAGACTGAATGGGCGTAGGCTGCAGCTTGTTAGCGCCTCCCCGTTACTTATTCAAAACATTCTCAGGAAGGTTTGGTCACAGAGACTCTGATGAAGTCAGCCGTCACTTTGTAACAGACCTCAGTCTATCTTGTGTTTGACCCCTGACCTCTGGTCCACCCCCTCAGCTGGCAGGGAAGTACGACCCCCAGAAGGAAGAGGAGCTGAGGCTGTGGATTCAAGATGTGACTGGGAAGAGGATCGGGGACAACTTCATGGAGAGTCTGAAGGACGGCGTCCTGCTGTGCGAGTGAGTAGATCCACACTGGAAGATGTTCATTTGTCCTCTGTCATAAGTATAGGATGTGTTTTAGAAGCCCTCAGACAACTTACTGAAATCACCGTCTCTCTTTACAGACTCATTAATGTCCTCCAGCCAGGCTCGGTGAGAAAGATCAACCACTCCAGTCAGAACTGGCACCAGGTAACGCAGCTGCTCCGTGTGTCATGCTGGTCTCAGAGCCAGGGCACGCGGAGCGTGGCTTGTCTACTGCACTGGCGGCAAACAAACTCCTTACAGTAGCTGCCATATCACACAGAGCTGCTGTGGAGCTCCGAAGAGTTTAAAGAAGCCAAACATAATGAGAGAATAGACATTCTGAGGAAAGCCTTTATTCACTGTCTTCACCAGAACCACTTTGTCTGTATGGTAAACAGTATGAGGCTAATGCCAGCAGCTAGTCATCTAAGGGCCGAGACGCACCAAGCTGATGGTCGGCTGCCGTCTGTGACCGTCTGTCAGGCCACCAGTCGGTCCCCTGTCAACGGATTTTCAGCTGATCTGACATGTTGAATCAGCGTCGTTGGTCGGGCCTTGTTGGTGAGAGACGGGCCACTCTGATTGGCTGGTGAGCTTAGCGAATCAGTGCACGAGAAGGGAGCTGTTCGGGAAAAGCCCTTCATCCTGTCGCTGTGGTATCCATGATTTCACCCATTTAGTGCAGTTTCTCCTTGTTTTTCACCTCCATGACCTCCTCTCTTCTTCCACGACCAAACAGCCAAGGGCAGAGAACAGCGGTGTCAATTGCAGCTTCTCATCAGACGTATTCTCCATTAGAAACAGCTGTAAACACCAGCTGTTTTGAACGAGAGGTGTTTTGTTTACAGCTTACACTTCCTCAGTCTAGCGCTTCTTCTTTCCCTTTCTGAATGATGACTAGACACCGCCACCTGCTGGTAGGGGGAGTTATCTCTGTCACACAGGTGCGTATGTGCTTGTTGGCCGGAGGCTGTCGTCTGTGCGGTGTGTTCAAGTGTCACTGTTTCAACCCGAGTGGCCCAGACAAAGCCAGCGTGAGGCGATGCAGAGGTCGACCTCTGTCGCTGCTGGTTCTCTCACATCGGCTTGGTGTGGCTCTGCTCTAACAACTGGCTCTGTCCAAAGCTAACAAAATACAGCACCTCTGAAGCTCACTGACACATCTCGTAGCTGTGTCCCTGTTTCCAGTCTTTGTGCTTGCTTCAGAGATAGTGTACAGATATAATGATCTAACTCTGCAAGAAAACTGCCCAGACTTTGGAACTGTTACTTCACACACAGGCTGTGTTACTGTGTGAAGCTGCGTTCCAGGTGAAACACTCAGGCTCTGTGTGAGATGCCAAACGGATGTTGTTCTCAGCTAATCAGAGATGCTTCTCGTTCAGCTGGAGAACATAGGGAACTTCGTCCGGGCCATCACAGACTACGGCCTGAAGCTACACGACATCTTTGAGGCCAACGACCTGTTTGAGAATGTCAACCACACTCAGGTGCAGTCCACGCTCATCACCCTGGCTGGCATGGTGAGAAGTAGCACTGCGATCACTGGAAAACAAATACAAGTGTATAGAGTGGACTGGATTTGTAATCAGCTGATGTGATGCTGACCAGAAGGGTGTTGTCACTTCTTTACACTGCTGATGGTGCAGCCACTCATTTAGCTACGTATGTGAGCACTTTGTGTTGCATGGGACTGGGACAACCATGTTCTCTCTGTTTCAGGCCAAGTCCAAAGGTTTCCACTCAAACTATGACACAGGAGTGAAGTATGCTGAGAAGCAGCAGCGCCGCTTCACCCCAGAGAAGCTGAGGGAGGGACGTAACATCATCGGCCTGCAGGTCAGACCAGCACACCTGCTACATCTCTGGCCTACTGTTGTCTGACCACACTTCCATAGAAATACCTGGCTGCTGTGCCAAGACACTTAAAGTGGGTTGTTAACCATGCTGGACTCATGCTGCATGAATGTTTAGGAGCCTGTCTCAGTCTTCTCTCACCTGCTCTGCTGTTGGAGCATTGAGAGCAGAGATTGACAGCAGGTTAATCGGCCATCACGGGTGTGGTCTTCACGTGGTGTTTAGTCCTACAGGCAGTGACAGCTGTGTCCACAAACAGCATGTCTCCGGCTGTTTAGCTGACTTCATTTTTCTTTGTCTATAGATGGGCACCAACAAGCTCGCCAGCCAAAAGGGCATGACCTCTTACGGCACACGACGTCATCTCTATGATGCCAAGATAGGCATGGACAACCCACTGGACCAGTCCACCATCAGCCTGCAGATGGGCACCAACAAGGGAGCCAGTCAGGTGAGGAGGGGCTTCTTAGTGGCACTGTTAGACCGTTGGTCTTCACATAGCTCAGACTGAGTCGGTCTGACCCAGCAGCGCTGCAGTCAACCCTCCTTTCTGAAGGTGATGATGTTCAGACTGTGTCACAGAGGTGCTGGCTCACCTGTGTGATCACTGGCTGGTATACTGAGCTAGGTGTGGCCGTGTCGTATCACTAGTATTTGTTGAAGAAGTGTAACTACCTACAGAGTGTTGCTCCAGAAGCCCTGATCCACCTCGTTTCTGCCCCGCAGTCTGGTATGACAGCTCCTGGAACGAGGAGGCACATCTTCGACAAGAAGCTGGAGCTGGAGAACTGTGACACCAGCACCATCTCTCTGCAGATGGGGACCAACAAGGTGGCTTCACAGCAGGGCATGACCACCTACGGTCTGCCCCGCCAGGTCTACGACAACAAGTACTGCACCAACCCCACCGAGACCTACTATAACAACGGGAGTGAGGTGGAGTTTGACGGCTACAACCAGTACTCTGACTAAACAAACCAAAGCACGGACAGCATTGCCCCCTCCGTTCTCTACTGCCTTTGACTTCAAACAACAGCCACGACTGTCTCTGTGATGAGCACACCTCCCAGACTGGTATCTGATTGACGTCACTGCCGTCTCATTCCCCGTCTTTTTCCAAACACATCTTTACTCCTAGGAATGTGTTTGTCTTTCCACGAGTAAGAATGAAATGGAGTTTCAACGTCTGTATCTCACTGATGAATTGTATTGCTACTTATGTGGAGATCCAGCTAGGTTTGCTATTTATAGATGGTTTTTCTACAGCTTTTTATACTTGTATTGTAGCCTCACCTCACCTCCCTATGCCTCAGTCCAGTTTGAACGCTGATGGAGCAGAACTGAACGTTTATGGACAGGAAACCAGTGACCGTGTTGGTGCTACTCAACTCTGACCCAGTTGGAACAGAGTCCACACTAGAGCCCGCGGGCTTCGGACTGGACGATGCAGCTCTGTGCAGACACTGCTTTGTTTCGTGAGCATCTGCGCTGACAGTCATGTTCACATGTGGCCAAGTGACCTTTACCATATTTTTACAGGGCTCACTGAAACGGCTCGTGTGGTTTCTGGGGAAACAGTTTGAGATGTGTGGAAGCAGGTTGCAGTCATAACAGAAAAGGCCTGATCACATAATTATGACTTACTATCTCATAGTCACAAGAAAACATCTTGTGATTACGGGACCTGGACCTCTCAACTATGAGTTAATGGTGCAAGACTTGGGCTCATCAGAACTTTTCAGGTTTCTTTAGTCATAAAATAATTCAGTAATAGGTGTCAGTACATCTAATAGTACACAGCAACACTTAAGTGTCATAGTTAATTCAGCAAACCTAATGTTCAAAATATTAACACATGGGCTAAAAACTGTGTCCTAGTTGCAGCTGTGTCACTTAGTTTGTGCTCATACAAGGTAAGGTTTTTAACAAGACATTTAAAAAACACTCCTGTTGATATTTAAGATCATACTTATTATATAGACAGTCGAGTAGCATCTGATAAAAGCTTTGGCAGGAAACAGGAAGTATTATGTTGCTATGGATACCATGGGTAATGCTGTGACCTGCACCGGGAGCCGTTTTTAGCTGATATTTGTTGACGTCTTGCGACATTAAGGATACTGAATCAGATAGTAATGGTTAATTTTGCCTATGTACTACTACATGTCACTGAAATACTTTATTACTGCAGAAATCTTACAAACCTGTTGATTCCCAAACAAGTTCTGAAGCATCCCATTTCCTGTACCACTAATTCTTTTCTCATAATTATGAAACGGCAGGGGTCCAATATTTTTCTTGTGTGAATGCAGCACACTCCCGTATACATAGTACACTGCTTTCTTTTAAAGTAGAAAGTGACACAGGTGTGGTCACGGCCACTTTAGTCGAGGGTAAACGTAGCCGCCAGAGGTTTGTCTTGTCTTTTCTTACAGCTTTTGGAACCTTTTCTACTTCTGCCTCAGTGAACGTCGGCTTTCGTGCTGTCGCTCTGTTTGCACTTTACCCGGCTTCACCGTGTGTGCAGTAAACAGTGGTGGAAGGTAACTAAGTACGTTTACTCTAATTCTGTACTTAGGTACACATTGGAGGTACTTGAACTTTACTTGAGTTTTCTACTTGATGCCACTTTATAAATACACAACAGTTGTCAGTTATTTACTTTACAAAATAACATTTTCCACTCAAAGTATATTTATAAACTAACTATATGTAGTATACATATTACAGCGGTCATATTTCTGCACGGCGTACTTTCAGTATTTTTTTTGCTGATGACGCTGACATAATTATTTGTAATAGTATTTTTACATTGTGGTATTGCTCTTTTACTGAAGTAAAGTGTATGAGTACTTCGTCCACCACTGGCATTAACATGAGTAGGAAAGCAGACCCAGCTGCTGGGAATCAGACTGTTAACCCACCGAAGGTCTCGAATGTAATGTCGTTGTAAGGTTAGAGGTGCCGCCAGCTGTCACAGGGCTCATGCACAGTGCACCAAGAGTACAGAAATACAGTGTTCACTTTATTAGCAACACCCTGCAATAAATCCTCCTACGTGAAAATGATCATGTACATGTTTGTCTCACCAGAACCGGCTCTCAGTGTAACCCAGACCAGGTGAACATCATCACCTTCAGCACTGTTGGGTCAGACTGGCTCAATGTGAGACAGGGGTTCCTAATAAACTGAACGTACATTCACACAAGAGGCTCAGGCACCTGTGATGATGCTACACATCACATCTTTCAGATGTGGTTGTTTTCAGCAGGTAAATATTGCTCGTGTATTTCCTGTGTGTTCGCGAGGTGGACGGACGAACACATCTGAGCTCATCAATGTCAACAAGCAGCTGTGTAGCAACACGCCATCTAGAAGAAAGAGCATGTGTATGTTTACTGTTTGCAGACATTCCTCTCTATTCAGCCAGCGTAGGAATGTAGTTAGTTTTTTTTTTTTTTTTTTTCCCCCTGGTACAGGTCACTGACCTATTATCGTTACCGAGTACATCTTCGGTACCATTTCATGTTGTTTCTCCATTGTTCAGACACCTTTGCTAACCTCTGACTTGTTTTCTATACCTTTCACTAAACATGACAGTTGTGCAATAAAAACACTGCAAAAAGCTGGTTCTGCATTAATGTTCTCATTACTGTGGTTACCTCAAGATACAGAGTCAAGATGATAACACGAATTAGCAGAAATGACACAATGTGACACAGGTAAAGTGTTAGACTGCCCCGAACAAATCAAACATTTAAATAGAACAGCCTTTTGAAAAAAACTGTCAACCAAATGTTTCAGAACACTGATCAGTATTCAGCCTGACAAGAAATGTTCCTAGCTTCACTAAGTCACACAGAATACTAATAAAGGATAGGGAATGTTTTGAACTAGTGGAAATATCAGTCATTACTTTTTAAACTTGACAGTTCAGTTCAAAAGGAGAGAAAACGTGCAGATCCAAATAAACACGAAAACAATGCAGCGGCGCTCCGGCACAGCCAGAGCAACGTGTCACGCTCAGCACAACAAATGAAACTAAACGGGCTGCAAACCTAGAGAAAATATGTTTGGCTACATTGTGCTAACGAGATGGGTTCAACCAAAGAAGTGAAATGTGAGAGGAAAGCTTTGATATAAACACACAGACTCCACAGCCAGCTGTGAGCTGCATCACATCTGACAAAGAAAAGCATCAGCTCCTCACATTAAAGAAGGTGGAACCAGAACATGTCAGTGACTGTTGATTCTAAATAGCTGAGGTTCATTTTCTACCAGTGAACGACACAGTGAGGGGATCTGGTTTGGAAGGAGGACGTTTCCTCCCTCAGACAGAGGAGACCTGACAAGGCTCTGGAGACTCGGCCCTGCTGGGTGGGGGTTTGTCCTCTCAGTTGTCACCAGCTGTGTGCGCATTAAAAGGTTTCTCTGTACCAAGATGGCAGCTACAGTGACATATCACCAGAGAAAGCAGTGACTCTACATCTTTATATCTACGAGGGGAAACGTGACTACTGATTGGCTGCTTCACAGGCGTCGATCCAATCACTGTAAACATCCACAGGCTCAGACAGATCTGTTGGAAAAGGTTAAGGGATGTACAAGTCCATTCAGAAAGGTAAATGTACATTCATATTTCTGCCTTCACTGTGCCCTTTATTCATATGTTGTCACCACAGCTCCACTGCTGTGGTTTTTCATATGCACTGAAGAGTTTGGGGTTCAGTTTGGACTTAAACTTGCTTTCTGTGGCAGGTGCAGCTACACGTCACGTTGCCATCTTTGGTTGAAGGATACAGGTTATTGGAGTCTGGAACTCCTCCAAGCAAACGCTGCACGATATGATCCCTGTGTTGCGGGTTCGTTCCCTGGAAAACAGTTTTGTTGGATACAGGGACTTCAGAAAGTGTTGAGAGCCCTTCACCTTCACACTTGATTGTGATGCACATTCAGTTTTAATCTACACTCAATAACCTGTCATGACAAAGTGAAAACTAAGAAACGAAAAGTAAGAAACTGAAATCTCCCACGTGCATCATGTGACGGGGTCTCAGTAGTTCCTGGACTGCCTGTATTTAGCTCATTTCTCTGCATTTTACTGTGCTGTCATGCTGAGCTGAACTTACATTTTGACATCGCAGGATTTCTCATGGTTACAGAAGGGGCACGTGAACTGTGTGTCCAGGTTCCCCGTCATTTTCTTCTTCGGGGGCGGCTTTCTCTTTGACTTTCTGCGTCCCATTGGAAAGGCTGTATCTCTGCAGGAAAAAAGCAAAGCAACAATCAAGGCTTTACTGTCAGTCCAGCAGCTGCAGGCTGGTCTGGAGTTTCATCAAAAGGAAATTCAGCAGCAACTGTTTTGGCTTTGTCATACAAGTATATGAAAGGAAACAAATATTAAGAAACTTAAAGGCATGACTCGACAGTTCATAAGCTAAGAATTGATTTATTAAAAAGATAATAATAAAAATATCAGCTGGGGACTGTACCAGGGGTGTGCACTGTGAATTAACACAGTTACCTTTAGTCCAGGATGTCACGGACACTGCAGCAGTTAATGGATCTTTATCCATACTTTAACTACTACACTAACCGTCACACCATGTACATATCCAACCCTTATATCAATATAAATGCCCGTAATAATCAAAACAACTGTCAGCAATGCTTATTTTAATCACTGCTCACCTGGCTCAGACTGGTAGAATCATTAAAATTATGACTTTAACACAGCGGAAAGTAATTAACATTATCTTATTCCCTGTATTACTGTTAAACTATCCTCCAAACAGATAAACTGCGTTAACGCCACACGTCAGAAAACACTGAAGCGCCAAGAGCCACTGCTCCATGTTAGCAAGCTAACTCGCTAACAGCCGCTAACATGTGAGTAAAGCCTCCCTGACATAAAAACTATCTCTGAAAATGGCGTGGTAGTGAAAGGCAAAGCTGCACAGTGTTTCATCTGCCACAGAATGTTGTTTGAGGTATTAAATGTGTGCCTCTTGTCTCACCTAATGGATGTCGAAGGATGCTCTGAAGCCGATCTATGGCGTCGCTTCTGGTTGGTTAGTCAAATTTTCTCCGGTTTGTGATTGGTTCAAAAGAGAAGACTGACAGCAACATCTAGCCAATAGCGTGTTTTCTATTCAGGTCAAATCCCTCCTTTTGTGACTGTCCAAACCTGACGTCCACAGTTGTTTGAGGTTGAAGTATCCGTCTTTACATGAAAGTACGTTTTAAGTGAATACTTTTATTTTCGTGTTTAAAGTTGCACAAAATCGAGTCCAAGTACTTGCAATGAAAATGTAAATGAAAATGTTTCAATCCCATTGGTCCATGTGTGCCACGTGGGGTGGGATTTATAACAAGAGAGGAAGTGGGTCGGCTGCACTTGAAATTCTGCAACTCTTATTAGTTTGTGTTTAGCACGTTGAGTAACTTACAGGAAAAGGAAGAAGGTAAGTGTGAAGTGTTGTTGTGTGTAGCGAGTCGTTGAACACTCCAAACTGAATTATCAAGATGAGCTTTGTGTAACTGACCCTTAGCTCGGTGGCTAAAGCTAGTTAGCTTATATGATCCAATCGGAACCTGTTACTGCCTCTTTCTCTCTTTATGGATTTAACTGTAAACACCATTGATAAGCCCGAGCCTATAGGGTACGATGTATAACGGTATGTATACGTATGTTCGTCACAGATTAAATGTGTGTTTTCCGTGCTCTGCAGCCTTATCGGGTCTGGGCACATTGGAGCAGCAGGTGCACACGCACATTAACTCTGTGACGTTAATCCTCAGTCACCTGTGCGTGGGACCATCCACATCCACCTCATGTTGTGTATTACAGAGTAATAAGTCAGGTGATGTTTTACCTGAGGAGCTAAAGTTAGGGACCATCTCTGAAGTGCATGCTGCGTGACCCCCCCCCCATCAGGCAACATGACGTGAGCTTCCTCAGTTGTCAGTTTATTAGGAACACCTGTCTCAACCTCAGGCTTTGTCTGTGAGAGACCTTTGCAAACAAAGTGAATATATATTTATTCACAGTGACAAACTGGTAAAACGTGACATTTTGTTGTATCGTCTAATAATAGTTTATAGTCATTTCTTTATTTTTTCATCTTCACCACTTTTGACAAGAGAGATGATTCCCCCTTGTACATATTGGATTCAGATAAGTCGGCATATTAAAAAATATTGAAAGGAAAGAGGCTGATAGTGCAGCACCAAACAATAAGGTAGTGGGAAGTGAAGCCAGCCTTAACAGAACAGGGTTAATACAGTCTAACAGTGTTTACCTGTGTGCAGTTGACAGAGTGACACCATGGCGACAGAGGGGGATCCAACAGATGCGGTCAAAGTGCTCCACCTCCTGGTGCTCTCCTTCTCCTGGGGCATGCAGCTGTGGGTCACCTTTATTGCAGGTAAGAAGACGGGTCACAGCTGCACCAAAATGTCTGCATGGCACCTTCACATTTGATTAACGAGCTCTTTCCTTGGTCTTCTGTGCCTGCAGGGTTTGCACTGGTATGGCAGGTGACTCGTCACACCTTTGGTCTGGTGCAGAGTAAGCTCTTCCCCGTTTACTTCTACTGTCTGCTGGGCAGCAGCTTTGTCAGCCTGGCTGTGTACGCAGTGTACCACCCCAGAGAGCTGCTGGACTGGCATGAGAGCGTGCAGGTCGGACATCACAGTCAGCTTTCCTACTCTTGCATGTCCATCTGCTGTTACCCACTGTTATCCCTTTGCATCCGGAACTACAGGCCTTTGTGTTTGTCCTCTCATGATCTTTAACACTCACTTTGATGGACTGTTTGAAAACAACCTGAGGTTTAATCCTTCTAGTTTCACTCTGAGTGAATGCTAGTCCTGCACCCAACTCCCTGTAAAACCACAGCTAGTCATTTTTGCCAAGAAGAATGGTGCACAGCTGGCTTAAAATAATGAAGTATTATGTATGAATTGGTGAAGGTAGGGAGGCTGCTTTACTTTTGGACAGAGATGCTAGCTTTCCAGTTTTTATGCTAAGCTAAGATAACAGCTGCTGGCTGTGTGACTCTTAGAAGAACAGACCTCCCAGGTAAATCATCCTCCAGTAAGGTGTCTCTTCTTGTTCTGCAGATGCTGCTGTACTTTGTGACGCTGGTCATGGCCGGTCTGAATGCCCAGTGGTTTGGCCCAGGGGTCACTGAGGTGATGTTCCAGATGAGGGAGGTGGAGAAGGAGCATGGCCTGGGGAACCAGATAGGCCTGGGCAGCGAGAAGGAGAAGTACGCCAAGCTAAAAGAGCAGGACCCCAAGTATAGAGCCTACAGGAGCAGGTTTGGGCGCTACCATGGGCTGTCCAGCTTCTGCAACCTGACAGGGTTCATCTGCACCACTGTTAATCTAATCTACACAGCTCTGCACCTATCCACCATCTAAACAGGAGCAGGCTTCAGGAGAACTGCTCACATCACAGTATTTCAGATGATAGTGAACAAATGATGCCTAAATCCAGAAGCATGGTGTGTATGGACGCCAATCATGTGAATTTAATTATACTGAATTCTGCATCTCTTTCATAAGAAGAGGTGGAGCTGCAGCTGTCTGTAACTGTCTCTCTAAACAATGTCTTTTTTTATAATTGTTTTTAATATTTGGCCTTATTGCCCCTGATCCCTGGAAAGAATACATTTCTGATGAAACACAGTGCGTCACCTGCCCTCAGGAACCGTGTGGACAGTTCACGTGCAGCTCCAACAGGGGGCGATGTGTGGACACAGGTGCCTTCAGGAAAGGTGTGTAGATCCACTGGTGAGCAGAGTAACAGATGGCTTTTCACCTGTAAAATATTTCTGGACATCATCTAGAAAATGCATTTTAAATTGTCAGTAGTGTTGAATCGACCCTGGCAGATGAACCTGCACGCCGTTTCCTCCCAACATCTCCCACCTGTTGATACAGTGTGAGTTTTAAAAAGCTTGGCTCAAAATAAATTTCACTGACTGAAGCTGTTGAATATACAGCTGCTGCCTGCCACGGATGGTAAGTCATAAGCTGCTTGTTGTGTGATGTACTCGGCGCCGTTATTCGTCTGTGGAGTAAAAGTGGGACTGCTGTGCTTCAGCAGCCTGTGCCATCCTTTGTGCATCGTCAGCTTTGCAGCAAACGGTCGATACTGAATGAATGTGCAGTTTTAGCAAAAACCTAACTGATGTAGTTTTAAATGGCTGATACTTGCATGCATCAGGTTTTTTTTTTTTTTTTGCTGCTTATTTGAGACAGGACACGTTAATTGATTGTGTTGTTAACTAAGCCCTAAAAAGTGTTAAATTCCATTTCTGCAGGAACCCCCTCCCTTGTAGTACCAGGAAGGAGCCTGACTCATAATCCTCCTAGATTTACTGAGATTAGTCAACGCAGACCTTACAGACAGGCCCTGAATACGGAACAGGCGGGTTTTAATTTAATTGCAGTGACGCACAGGCGAGTGTGAGAGGAGCAGCCCTGGATGCAGAGAACCGTGCACTGCTGGCCAGACACAGGATGAGCAAGGTGCTTTCCCTGTTCAGCATCAGCATTAATGGAGTATAATAGAGCATCTCAGTTGGAAGTAAAGGGATGAGGCTTTGTCAAATGCAGTTCACACTGGATCTTTGTTAGATGTTGCCTCCACAGCTGTGATCAGGTTTTTCCCCCACCTAATAAACACCATGTTATAAACGGACAGAATCACTGTCAAGTTTTATGTCACTGACATTGAAGTGCCTTGTTATCGATGTGGGAAGTTGGTCCAAGTGTCTGAACCTCTTGGGGATGTTAGCGCTGCAGTCCTGTCACGTTGGCAGTTGCAATGGCTGCAGGAGATAATCTTTGTTTAACAAAGAACAAGTTCATCTGCTCCTTTCTTTGGGGAATGGAGGAGAGCTTCCAAGTGAAATACACCTTGAGAAGTGACAGTTGGTAGGAATAGTTCAGTAAAAGCCTTAAGAACAGTATAAAGATGACAGTCGTCAGCAGCTGTGAAGCCAATGTTTAAAGGTTCTTCAGCTCTGTGTGTGCAAAGCAAAACACGAGGAGGAGTTGGGCATCAGTTCCCTACCAGATCATCGTCCCTCCTGATGATGCACACTAGGAAATGAATTCACTGTTGCTGGAGCAGGCCTGTTATCATGCTACAGAGCAGCCCTGCAGTGCTCTAACATGGTAAATGAATCAGTTTGACAATCTCATGCATCTTAATTCAGTCATTTCTAATGTGGAAAAGCAGACCTCATTTTAAATTGACTTGTCTGGACCTGCACCTACGAAGCACGAACACACTGAGATCCACAGAAAGTGCAACGTAGTCAAGCACAGGCTCCATCTGCAGTGAAGCACTCAGATCCTTTACTGAATAAAGGTGGTAGTACCACTGTGTAGAAATACTCTGTTCCAAGTAAAAGCTCTGCATTCAAAATGTTACTAAGTACAAAAGTATCAGCATCCAAATCTACCTGAAGTACCAGCAGTACCAGTACTGGTCCTCCAGAACAGCCCGTGTCCCAGTAACGTTTCTGATACTGGATCATAGTGACTAATTACTGTGTCCATCACTTTAATGCTGCAGCTGGTAAAGGTGGAGCTGATGGTAACTACCTTATATACTTATACTGGGAAGTACTTTCCATCCTGCTGGGTAGCTGGTGGATTTCCCACCAGTGGAATTTTATATTGATGTATAACAACATATCATTTATTAGTTGAATATATTTAGCTTTATTCATCTGTAGATTGTAGAATACAGCATTTGTCTGGATTGTAGTGGAGTATAAAGTGGTACAGAAGGGAAATACTTAGGAAAGTACATGTACCTCTAAATTATACTACTTAAGTACTTAAGAAAAGAATGAGTCATATGTACAGAAAACCACAGGATGGAGCTGAGAGCAGAGGCAGCACCAGAGGTGTCCTCAGACTCCCTGGAACAAACTGATCATATCAGAGCTGCAGGTTAAACAAGAGATCCTCGAAGAAACTGGGTGAAACAGACAAAACCTAAAACACATGGTGCAATAAAACCGCCTAAACGAATGAACGACTTGTTGTAACGAGTCTGATGCGGCTCGGTGCTGAAACGCCTCGGGAAACGTGAATGAATACTGGTGTTTCCTGAGGGTGTGTGCGTTTGGTGTGGTCTCTGTCTGCGCGTTCACGCGGGCACGCACAGTGGCCAGCCCTCTCCTGGAGCCGTGCACATGAGCCAGTATCCGCATCCACTTCAGCGTCAGCTGTGCGCACACACGCCAGATCCGGGATCTGCTCCAGTCGCCACCGGGTTCCACTGAGTGGCTGACTAGTTTTCACCCTGCGCGTCACTGCCGGACGGAGGAGATCGGACTCGAGAGGAACCGAGCTGGGCCTTTGCTTTCTTCCGTCAGAAGGTGAGTTGGTCCAAGTTTGAGCGTTCGGTCCTGCCTCCAGCACTCGGCAAACTTCATGTCTCGTTAGATCCGGGGTCTGTGCCCACACGGTGGCTGGTGTGCGGCTCGTACCGCGGCTCTGCTTGTGCTCATCACACCGGTAAAGTCGGCTTATCTGGCACAGATCGAGTCGAGCGTGGAACCAAACGTACCCCCGATGGGAGCAGACGTGACAGCTGCCAGTTAATCAGAGGCGGTCAGCACCAGCCGGCCTTGAGCGTAATGGCCCCTGCCCGTGCTACTGGGGACAATGGGGCCCCAGTGGCCTGTGGGGCAAGTCAGCTCAGCCTTCTGTGTTTGGGGGTGAAGGTAATTCTGAAGTAAGGCCTTGATGTACTTGATTACTTTGGATCGACAGGGAGTTCATGTTTTTCTTATTTGAAATGTCAGAAATCTGTAACCTGTTGTAATTGGAGACGCCTCTGACTGTAAGAACAGCCTGGTGTTGAAATGGTGGCCATTAACTCTGTGTAAAAACGTCAGGACAACATCAGTGGTAACGGACACAGCTGGTGATGATGTGCTTGTGTGTAATTCCTCACCAACCCCGTCCAGAGACAGCAGCACCAGTGAATGTGGTGTCCTCACCGTAATGTGTGTGAGTCCAGGCCCTGGTCCAGCTCATCGTTCTGTACTTTTTGTCAGTCATTTACATTCTCAGAGGAAACCTGACATGACAGAATAAAGTAAGACCACACAGTAATGAGACAGCACAGAGTCAGTCCTGTAAATGATCTACTGTGTTTTTAAAAAGCAGAAGATGATGTGTGCAGACTGTATGAGTCTGCAGACGCCCTGAGCTGCACAGCAAACAAAGTGCATGTGATGCCCTCGGGCCCAGGCTGAGCTGATGGGAGGGTTGATGTGAGAAAACAACATCATCGGAGTCTTTGGGGCCGTGCTGTAAGATCTATGAGACCCTGACAGCACGGGCATCATGTGAGGCTGGAGATCAGGAGGACTGGAGCCTGAATGGGACCCAGAGAGCAGCCCCCGGTGAGCCTTCGGCAGAGGGTGGAGTTGTCAGTGGGTATTGTGTTGTTTTCCTCCTGTGAGAAAACTGCAGCGTTTCTTCACATCAGCTCAGAACATAGCACAGACTGGTGCGTGTGTCTGCTTCACGCTGCAGGTTCAGAACAATCCAGTGAAGACAGTTTGTTTGGTGGTTGTGATGCTTCAGGCTTGCATGGTTTCCAGTAAGTGTAACTGTGTCCTTCCTCGTCTAACTTCAGCTTGTTACAGTTCCCTTAACTGCACCACGTTTCCTCGTGTCTCAGTCCCGCTCACCCAACACATGAGAAGGGATGTGAGGGGAAAATGCGAGGAGGGAGAAAGCAAGGAAACACATTTTTCCTTTTCCTCCAAGTCATATTCAGAAGTGGCTTCTGCGGAGGGTGGTCTCGTGTGTCCTCACTCCGAAGGGCAGTGTGGGACTTTAGATGTCCTATGAGATGGCAGACTGGGGTGGTCTTTGGGTCAAGTGCATGTTATCAGATGGTGGACAATGGATTGTTGGGGGAGGGGGTGTGTCTGTAAACTGCTCATTAGAGACTGACTGTAGTACCTAAGCCCCTCCTCTCCTTATGCTACTGTGACATGGATACTGGTATGTCTCTGCACATGAAAGCTGGGTGAACTGGTTCAGACCATTAGTGGGTTTTGGTGGCAGCTGAGGCCCCCCCCCCCAGGGAGTGAATGTCTGATCCCAGAGTGATGTCACTGCAGCTTCTCCAGGTCAGTAAGAGCTGCACTTACTGCTGTCGTACTCTCAGTTCATTAAGCCATTAGCTGGTGATAAGAACATGATAACGAGGCAGCCTGGTGCAAACGGGAACGTGGAGGGACATGAACCAGCTGAGCTGACACTGGCCCAGGGGTTAGTGGGCCCCTGGAGCCCGCCCAGAGCCTGGTGAAGGGAGTCTTTCCTCTCCCAACTGTTGCCGAGCGCTTGTGTGGGGGGGTTGTTGGGCTTTGTCTACGTAAAGTGGTTTCTGTTGTGATTTGGCGTTATAGAAACAAAACTGGCCAAAATGAAACAGCCACTGAGATGCCAGACGTCTTCGTGCGAGATGTGAGGATTTCCAGCTTCCCTTTGTTTAACGTCCGATGCCCCCTTGGGCTCTGGCAGCTTGAGATGCTGTTAATGCTGTTCTTGCTATGTTTCATAGACATTTAGGAGTTTTGACCGTGGAAGTGGAGCTTGACCTGCTGATGTTAGTTTCAGTCGACTCTCACCAGTGTCAGCATCGATGCCGTGCAGTGCCGTGGTAAAGCTGATCAAATGCTTCATGTGCCCTTCGCTCCTGACCGGTTTCTTTTTCTCCCCCGTCAGATGGCATCCAATGACTCGCGCGTCCAGCAGCAGCCCTCCCAGAAGGATGCGGCCGACCAGAACTTTGACTACATGTTCAAGCTGCTGATCATAGGCAACAGCAGTGTGGGAAAAACCTCCTTCCTGTTCCGCTACGCTGACGACTCCTTCACCTCTGCCTTCGTCAGTACTGTGGGCATCGACTTCAAGGTCAAGACCGTCTTCCGCAATGACAAGAGGATTAAGCTGCAGATCTGGGTGAGTGGAAGAAAGAAGCGATAGATTGTGGTTTTGATTAGTGGCGGTGCACTGGGTCACCACACTGCTAAATGAAGCACAGGGAGATGAAGGAAAAGGAAATGAAGCCCCTGTCCGTCAGCGTCATGTCTGCACTGAGACTGAAGGTTTGTGCACAGCTGTGGGTTGGACTGTTGTGCAAGTTCAGCCTGTGAACTGTGCAAGTGTAAAAAGACTTCCTCATTTACTCCCTACCCTGATCTGGGGTCTGCTAAAATGTTCACATGCACACAGTGATCAGTTTATTAGGAACCCCTGTGTCAAACTCGGCCTAGTCTAATAGTGCTGCAGTGAGTCCTGCTCCGTGAAGGCAATGATGTTCAGCCTGCTCCTCCGAGCTGTCAGTTCACCTGTATGGTCACTGTGGAGGCTGCAGGTTGTGCTGCTGTTCACCTGGACCGGGTTCCACGAGAGCTGGTTCTGGTTTTTAGCCTCAGTGATATGAATGGGGTGGACACAATAATAGAAACAGCACAGTCACCTTCATGAAAGAGGGTCTATTGCAGGACTGTTGGATTAGACTGACCCGGTCTGACAAAATAATTATTATAATTGCCTAGGTTTTTTTGTTAAAATAAATATTGCCCATAACTGAAAAAGTCGAGTCAAGCTGTCCTTAACAGGATGTGTCAAAGCTGTTGGTCCTTGGCAACAGCCGTGTGTGTGAAACCCCAGTAAGGGGACCTTGAATTCAAACTTGTATTTCCAAAGTGAAGAAGAAATTTTGATCAGCTGTGATATGGTGAGTGCCACCACAGTGGGGGAGCTATAGTGATAATGTGGTTTGTCCGTTCTCTTTCTAACACCCCGCCCTAACAGCAGCACGGGACCTTTAGCGACACCATGTTTGAAACAAACCGAGTTGCTTCCTTGCTGAGATTCTGCTGTGTATGGTGAAATGAAGATATAATAATAATCAGGATAACCACCTTTATTGGCCAAGTATGTTACACACAAGGAATTTGTTTCTGGTACAGAACCGAGGCAGCCATCTGCGGCGCCAACTCAACTGATGGCTCTAACCACCAGGGGCAATGGGGGGGAGCTTTAGTGTCTTGCCCAAGGACACTTTGACATGCGGATAGCAGGCACTGAGATTCGAACCGCCGATCTTCTGTTTGGGAGATGACTGCTCTACCCACTGAACCACAGTGGCTGCAGAATGTAAAGTTGCAGCTTAGCCTGACGACGGGGAACAGTCTATAGAAAGTGAACCCTGGTTCCACTGCAGGACTTTCACACTATACTTTAAGGCGTAACCCTACTTTTCCTCCACTAGCTGCTCTTTCCTCACTGATACACATCGCTGGGCTGTTCAAACAGATGATTCATTGAACCAACAGTGTGTATGATGCATGTACGATGACACAGATGACTCAGTAGCTGAGGAGCCCACACCAAAGCACACACTCTCCTGCCTGATCAAACATCCATTAGATGACACACAGTGTTGGCTGCGTGTGCATGGCAGTAATGTGTCGTATGTGTTGGGTATTTGTGTGAGGACCTGGGCACACTGCGTGTCCCTGACCCTGATGTGGCCACTGAGGCTGCTGTAGAATGGCATTTCCTGTGCTCAGGAAGCAGAGGAAGTTGCTGTGAGCGTAATGGATACTGCAGCGCTAATGTAGCAGTGTGTTTAAAGGGTGTGGGAGCAGCAGGCCTGTCTTCGTGTGCGGTTAATAATCAACCCTGGTAACATCTCTGGCTGTGAGCACCATCTGTAGGAGATTCACCAGCTCCGTGACAGAGTGCTGTCGATGGCCCGGTGCCAGCTGCCAGCCTCCTTGTGTGTATCACACACCACATGGCCCATTCACAGTGAACACACATGTACAGTGTGTTCACCCTGTGTACACATATCATTCACATCCCTCCTTTCTGGCTCATGGAAACATGTTTCTGGGCGCTGAGCAAACACGCACACCTGTCGCACACTCGGCATAAACACACCTACACATACAGTATGTTGCGTGTAGTAGCCCAGGGGATGAGAGCTTGTGTGTGCGTGTGCAGCTAACATGAACACACCGGGTCCAGGTGACGCCACAGGCTCAGACCGTGCAGAGGCCTCGCCGTCCATTGTACACGCACACATGAGGGGTCGGCGTCTGTTTACTGGCTGGGCTGATTGGCGCAGCCCCGGACACGCACTGTTTGGTTAGACATCTAGGCTGCCAGATGTTTGGTCATCTGTGCACGGATTAGAGAAAGGTCAACCTGGAACACTTCACACTTAAACAAGAGTCCCAGCTGACAGGAAGCAGACTCTGAATGTGGCACTGGAGACAGTCAACGACCCAATGGGGGACGAGCAGTTTCTCTCTCTGTGCTGTCTGACAGAGGGATTTCTGCCACACCCTAGCTCTCCGTTGTAAAGTGAGACGGATCGCTCAGGCCAGGCTGTACTGGAACATTCATAACCATCAGTGGTCTCTGGTTACCTGGACAACCCTCCCCTCCTCCTTGTGAGGATGGAGGACTCGGGCAGGTTACCAAGGCACTGGGAGAGGACCACCTCTATCGCTCTGCGAGTGCCCGCTGCATACACGCAGCCTCCATTTGACAGCAAACATGTAGATTCCTCTTGAGCCGCTGATGTTCACTGCGGCCGCCATGTTGGTACAGGGGAGCCTTGTAATGCGTGTGTGTGTCTGAAGGCAGGAGGTCAGTCCCCAGTTAAAATCATCAGAACTCGCTGAGGTTACAGCCGTTTGGTTTGTTTCAAATGCCAGAAATGTATTTATAATACAGGAAACGGAAAGACCCTGGCAGCCTGGGTGACAAAAATGGCCATAAAATTACAGAAAAATGTTTTAAAAACTCATATTCTTTAATTTAAATAGTTTTTCCCTTTAATTTTCAATGAAAACTTGTGCATTTAAGGTTTTTTTATGTTAAGAAAGATACAAACCTTTAAAGCACATAAAGGGATTTTATTAAAAAAAAAAGTAAAGTACATTTACACTGCTTCTGGTGGCTTTGTTGAGGTCGGACGCTGATTTCAGGGAAACCTTCATTATTACGCTGAAAACTGTCAACCTGGACTGAATGTAATGTGCATTACAGGTAGTTTCCCCCATGAATGGATTTTGTGACCAAATAGAAGAAGAACCTTTATTTTATTATAACACATACAACGACATTTTGTTTGGAGCCGAGGGCCCCGCGCCGCCATCATGGACAATACCGAGATTCGAACCTTCAACCTTCCGTTGGGAGGCGACTGCGCCGCCCACGGCACCACTGTCACCCGACAAAGAAGAAGAAGAAGGCCAGCTCACACTCAGCTGTTACTTCACCACACTGATCAGGATGTTGACGGCAGAGTTGGATGAAAATCTGTTTTGGGAGTATTGACTTGTGTTACACGGCCCTGTCTGAGATCATGTTAGGGACACCAAGGAGGGACACGGGTCTGTCTGGGGACATTGGGAGAGAAAAGCACTGGGAACCAGCTCCAGCTGTGCCCTGTTCACATTCAGCCTGAAGCAGCTGCTTGTTCACATTGAACCAAAGGTTTCTGAAGCTAAATGAGGAGTTTACTGCACAGTGTGTCCTGTCAGGCCGTAGTTTGGACAACAGTGCCCTCTTGTGGTTTCACATCATGTCTTCAGTGATCACAGGAGGAATCATGACGTTTGTGTTTTTTGGTGGTACTGATGTGTGTGTGTGTGTGTGTGTGTGTGCGCGCACAGGACACTGCGGGGCAGGAGCGTTACCGTACCATCACCACAGCCTACTACAGAGGAGCCATGGGCTTCCTGCTCATGTATGACATCACCAACCAGGACTCCTTCAACGCGGTGCAGGACTGGTGAGTTTAAACTGTGTGGCACGCCGGTGACACCAGGGCTTGTGTTTGTGGTGTCCTTTTGTTAGTTGGACTAACAAATTTGCTCTGGACAGTCCCACCATGTGGTCGGTTACCAAGCGCTTTAGGCTATCAAGGCTGGAAACAAGCTGCGTGTTTAGTTGAGGCATTTTATTGCCGTGCACAGAAACGCACAGTGGACTGAAATGTTGTTCTACCAGCACCACAGTGTAACCTAAGAACACATACGTAAATATACATCAAACACAGAAACTATGTTGTCCGTGAACGACTGGTCCTTCACGTGTTTCACCACGTCTGCAACATCTGTGGTTTGTTTTATGATAACGTTGTTTCCCTCTACGAGCTCAGAAGATGCAGCCCAAGTTAGACAACATCCTGCTTAATTTCCTGGCAGTGACTCTGAGAAATGTTAATAAATACATGCAACTACTGGTCCCCTGTAAATTAATAGTCATTTAATCAGAAAAGCATTTGATTGGTTGGGTTTTGTGTTCATGTGGACTGAAACTTTGTCCTCCAGGGCGACGCAGATCAAGACGTACTCATGGGACAACGCTCAGGTGATCCTGGTCGGTAACAAGTGTGACCTGGAGGACGACAGAATGGTCCCCACAGAGGACGGCCAGAGGCTGGCAGAGGAGCTAGGTCAGCACCATCGTTCACACCCACACCTGATGTAGTCTGTCTTTGAACAAAAATGTTATAGTTTCAGTCCAATTAAACCTTTTGATTTTTGTTAGTCTCTCAGCAAAACCTAGACACTTTAGTCCAGTTCTTATCCTGTGTTTAGAACAGTTCCAAGCATTTTGAGGCCATCTCTGTTTGTTGTGACATGGTTCCAGGTGTCGTTCTTGTCTGTCGGGGGTTGTGATTTACTTAGTTCATCACATTCAGACTAAACTCCTGTTCACTGGTTCAGCCTGACAGGAGAAGCGAAACCCTGGAGAACATGAGCACAGTGAGGTTTGTTTAGCCGGCAACCAGAGGAAGAGTCAGACGGTCATCCTGGAACTGACTGATTCCTGTTGATAGCAACACACCGATATCTGACAGTAACGCAAACGTCACGTCCACATCAATTCTTGTTCGGTGACCTGACCTGCTCATAAATGTCAGCTACTGCCGCGTTTTCCTCGTTTGTCTTAGCGGCGTTTGTGTTGTCTTGTCCAATTTTCAGTGGACTGTAGATCAGTTTAGTTCTTAAACCAGTTGCTTCCAGGAAGCGCTAACGTCAGCTGACAGAGGCAGAACGTTACTGACTGGAAGACGCTTCTTATTAATGGCAGTGCAGCAGGTCAAGCAGCTAAACCGGTGTGTGGACAGGAGAGGTTTGGTTTCACTGGTGTCGGTCTGAGAGTCCACACATGCTGCATGTCACTGGATGAGACTTTGTGTTAAGACGCCATTACTTCATGTCCAGTCATCTCTTTCACATTATGATTTAGGTTTTGTCAGTTGAAGATGTAAAACATCTGTTTTTGTAGTTTTTGTTGACTATCTTCTATTGTATCTTCTAAATGTGCCCCCCCAGGTTTCCAGTTCTTTGAGGCCAGCGCTAAAGACAACATTAATGTGAAGCAGGTGTTTGAGCGCCTGGTGGACGTCATCTGTGAGAAGATGAACGAGAGCATGGAGGGAGACATCAACCTCATGTCCAACCACGGGAACCAGGCCCTTAAAGACTCGCCTCCAGAGAGCCAGGGAGGCTGTGGCTGCTGGACCACCTGCCTTCTGACCCTGAACACCCCACCACACCCATGCACACACACTGACACTCGAATACAAAGACCTTCTCCTCCTGTGCCTCAGCCACGGAAAGCAACACACCTTTTCCTGCATCGTCCTCACAGCGCAGCATGAGGTCATCTTCATCAGCACTGCCGTGCTCCTCTTCTCTTTC